ATCAGCCAAATCGGTTTCCCTGCAAAAAAAAAAAAGGAATAGCAGAAACATCTTTTAATTGTCTGTATACAATTCGCCATAAAGTACTTCGAATACGTTATCTTTTTATTAATTAATGGCTTCATTATCGACGCTTATACCTCCGAACAAATTACTGTTTTCAAAGCCATTAAATCAAACGGGAGAATAAGAAAAGACTTTTGGATTACACAGACACACCTGTCATTGAAGGAATTATTTTAGCACTGAAAAACCGGTAGTTCTATAGTTTAATTGTTTTTAATGTAAAGGTTTGACTTCTTTGAGCAACCTAGATAAACCAAACTGAAACATATTCATTTCAACTTTTCTCCTTAAATAACTGCTTAGTCTAAAGAAAAATTTTGTTTGTACTTTTACAATCTCAACTAGTTGGCAATTTAAGGCGTCTTCTTTCTGTAACAGCTCTTTTGAATCAAGAAATGCAAACTTACATTTTCTTTAATAGCGCTATGGGATGCAAGGTAATCAACTGTCAGTTAATCATTGATTAATATGCCGTTCTTTCTCAGCTCTTGTTTTAATTATGCTTGGAATCTCGGAATCAAGTATGTCCAAGGTTATAATCAGCAAGATTCTTTTACAAAGGCGCCTTAAAGGAGCGCTTTTATTGATTTTTTTTATAATATAAGATTCAAGTACACGAAGTTTTCGACTACAACGAGCAGTTGTTTGAAACGAAGAAAAGGATCGAATCAAGGCAATCAGTCATTTGCCCTTGTATTGGTTAAAACTTAAAACTTGGAATTAAAAGACTGTAATATCTTAGGATTTAAAGAACTGTTCTACCTGTTTAATCTACCAATACCCGCTTTCGATCATCAATAACAATTAGGGCTTGAAATGTTCACAAACCCCCGCGATCACATTAATTGAAATTACAGTTGTCCGACCAGTTTGGCACCAAGGAGGTTTAAATGAGAAATGATCGGCCATTGGCTGTGTATATTTTGTTATTAGAGGGTATATAAACTCAACGCTCTGTAGTCCCAACTGAAAGTCCTTTAGGTTAGAGGCTCTACGACTCCTTTCCTCTTGGGCAAGAGGGAAACTGCAATTTTCAGGTAAGATTCGCTTTGAGTAGATATTTTTTCTGGCTTATGAAAAAAAGCTTTATAAGAACTGGCATTTTTAGGGGAGGGCAATTTACGTATTATTATTCTAAACAAACGTGCGGATAGGCAGCCTTCAACAAAACCAAAACAAATCTCAGTCACTTAGATCTTAAATCAGAAATACTCATTGTAAACATTCTACTATTTAGCAGAAGACGGGTCAACAAGGAAGACAGACTTGGATACTGTGTGATTTCCTTTTACATCACAATAAGCAGTTTCACTCGAGTGTTCGTTAATAACTGATACTGATAGCTTGAAACGGTTTTGGTTTTAGTTTCCGGTCTTTATATATCTACACACAGATTCTATCTACACATTAACGAAAACTACCAAGCATGGAGAAGGCCTGGCTCTTTATCGCATTGGTGTTGTTGCTTATCATTGCCACAGGATCCGTTCAAGGGCAGCCTCCATTTGGTACAGATCGCTGGGGTAAAAGGTCCACTCCTAAGGTGATGTTCCATTCGTCTATCCTAGTGATCTTCTTTTTACAGGCCAAAACAAAGATTTCCAGTGCTTCTATTTTAGGTCAAAGACTGAAAACAAAAACTGCAGTGAATTGTGACTTAATTATTTCGTAAGATTTTGATTCTTCCCCTCTGGTAACAGAGCGGTTAACACGCAACATTAATTACAAGCCGGAAAGAAGGCAGCCCTAGAAAGAATTTCTATCCTGTTTTTTTTAAGAGTCGACGAACTATTTTATATACCTTGACGCACGTATTTTTATAGATCTTTGCGACCATCAGTTTTACGGATTTGTACAGTTTTTTCATTGGACTCCCTATCTTTATAAAATTCGACAATAAGAATGGATAGCTGTTTGCAATGTTAGGCTCGTGGCAGTAGTAAAAAAGTTATCGACGTCGGTGATTTTGAATAACTGATACAGTGTATACGTTACATTTTGATAAGTCAAAGTGTTCTGCGGGGTATGTGGTACCAACATTTGTGGTGTGGCAACGATGATATTATTATTGTTGCACTGGCCTCATTGTACGAATTTTCGCAGCCTAACCATTATATATATGCTTTTATTTGCCACCAAATTTAAATTTGAAAAAATCATTAATAATTGATTAAAGGAAGTTGAAGATAAAGCTCAAAGACATTGTGAGCATTTGTTATACAGCATAAGTTTCATTAGTATAATCAGTTAATGAACAGAAAGACGCGTGATGGGTAAAATTATAACAAATTGGGAAAAACCGTAATAGAAAGGGGGATTTATTAAGGGCAAAAACCAAAAGGCATTTTGAGTGTCTGTCCTAGTGGCGGTGTCCTCTTATAGAGGTTTTCTGGTAATACGAATTTCTAGCAACATTGCGAGTATCTAACTTCTACTTCCGTAGGCAGTCATAAGGAAGAGGGAGTATTGTGCCAGAGCAAAGCGAATCTGCGGTACAGAAGAAGAAGATGATATCACCGACAGTGAATCTGCTTTCCTGAATTCTTAATAAAAGTAGGAAATCAATCATCGACGGTTTTACGACCCACTCGACCTTCACCTTAAAATTAACCTGTTCTCTGTAAATTGTCTAAATGTTTAGAAGGATAAATTAGAAGCATCTGCTTATTACTCTAGAAAATCATCATTGGATTTTGAAAGCTTTTGATTGGTTGTTGAGGCAGCCATAAAAGGGAATGAGTTTATGGGTCTACAGAACTGGTCTTGACTAGTTAACACCAATTTTTTCTAGAATTTGTAAAGTAATAAAAGCATAGTTTTAAAATGCCATAGCATTCTAAGCTACCTTTTTGAAGCCAATTGTTTCTTTATTTTCTCGTGATAAAAAAGAATTCCAGAAATAAATTGTCATTAAAATAACTGGTCTCTGCCTTCGTTGGGGAGGGGGGGGGAACTGGGGGAGGAGGCTGGGGGGGCAGCCCTGGTGCCTTGGGACAGGCTACCAAAGCATTCGACTTACGTTAATTATTTTGACCATTAATATACTTTTTTAGTGCCAAGATTGTTATGTTTATCTGCTTTACTAAATTTTCAGAGAACGAAAATTAAATAATGATGATAATAATAAGAGACACATCTTTTCTGGAAGTTTGTTCTTTTTACTACACATTTCTTTCGTCTAAACTCGTGATGACATCTTCTTAATTGTTTGAATTATTTTCAAGTTATACAATACATCTAAAGTCGCTTCTTCTTGGTCACTGATCGTCCGAATCTTGGCCATTGATGGTGTTCTCCACTTAGAAGCGCCGCGAAAGGAACTCTGGCCAAACGATTATAGTCTGTAAACAACAACACACAAAATAAAATGGCGTCAAAATCGTTTAAGCACTCCTTTGTTCAAAACAGAGAACTCTCGACTTTTTAAAGAAATTTCTATTTCATATATTTTTTTTCTCCCCAAAACGTTTAGACTGAACGGAACGTCTTTACAGAAAAGGCATATTAAGATTTTTTCCAGAGGATAATTCATCACAGCCACTCTGCCCGCTATTGACTTCTCGCGCTTTTCAGTTCTGTACATTTCTTTTGAGAAAGTCACCGCCCAATGACGCGATCATCTGAACCGAGAAAGAGGTTTCACAGCTAGCACGATCTCACCAGTTTTTTTAAAGACTTTGGTTGATGGTCCGACCGGGCTCTGAACTCACGACCTTCCGTTCAGCAGACCAGCGCTCTCCCAACTGAGCTAACCGGGCGGTGCTTGAAAGTTAGATCTTTACAGTATCTTCAAACATGGCAAATCATAATTTGGGTTAATCTTTTTGTAAACTTTAGCGTCGAAAGTTTAAATTACTATTCTCTCTGGGAAGAAACTTATTAATAGCTTTATTTGCTTCCGTCAACTCACCGTGAATGATTTTTTTTGTCGCTTCTTGCAAATGCTGTCAACAGCGGCCACGATCGAGTTGAGTGTTAATTATCTGCAGTGCTCCTTACCTTGTTAACTTGCTGACATGTACAATTTTCGAAAATATTTGCTCTCCTTTTTTTTCTACATAAATTAATTTCTATCTATGGGCAAAATTGGTCTTGCGAGGAAATCCCGAAAACAGTGACAAAGCAGCCTCGTTAATTTTGCTCTGTATTGGTAAACAATGCTTCCAGCATATAAGAAGTCAGCTACAGTAAATTACGCTGTTCAAACACCATCAAGTCTTTTCTTTCCTTCATACCAGGATATTCTTGTATTTTCAAAAAGTTTTTACTCTGAAACTTTGGCCAAACACCCAGTTTATGAAAGCGACTTTTTTTCAGTTTTGTTTTGTTTCGCCTTTTTTTAGATTGCTTGAATCGCGAAGAGCTCTAAGTGTGTGTTTACTAATGTTGCTTATAACCCACTGGGATTACTAAATTTCAATTAAAAAGGAAAAAAACGAAGCTAATCCTCTGGAATAATTTGTCAGTAGTAAATTTCAATTCCACATATACCACTTAGACCTAAGAGTGGAGCTCCTTTAAAATATTAACTTTATCATTCACTTGAAGCAATAAAAACCCCAAATTGCTTAATTTACTCCGACTTTCAACTTTTAGACTTTACTTAAATACTCCCAGATATTCGTTTCCTTGATATTGCTGTTGTCAACAAACCACAAACGTGCCATCGAACGATTATTCAAATTCAAATGACGAAACTAAAGTCAATTTTAAATGTTTTACAACTTTACAGGCTTATGTCTCGCCACGTACTAATGCCAGGACACCAGCTAGTGACCCCAAAAGAGGGCAAGAATATTTATGACAAAACCTTAAAACCGTTTTTTTTTCTTTTGTTTGTTTAATTGACCAAAATTAGTACTGTAGCTGCTATTGTGCAAAATATACATGTTTTCCTTCAAATCCTAGCCTGCCCTCTTTAAAGAGCAAGGCATTTACTTACCAACATCCTTTCCCCAAAGTTTGCTTAGTTCGTTTTCCGCGTCGTAAACATTACCGGAAGCTAGGTTTCTTTTCCCTTGACCTGGCATTAAACTGGTTGCGAAACTGTCAATTTGCCTCATTTGTTGACAAAGAAGAAGAAAACAGGACAAGGCCACTACACTGCCTATCTTGGTCATTCTGCCGATAAATGAAATCACTCTTGACTCTCTATCTCGGAGATGATTCTGACAAAATCGCTTTTGAACGCGCTTATAAGCTCTGAGAAAAACTTAGCGATATCGTTCAAATTAATCGACCTGCTTTTCACACAACGGCGTAAACGATTGAACCATATAATCGACTTAACTTTATTTCCTTCTTTAGAGAAAATAATTTCTTTTCTGGATATTCTATTACGTGTTAATTTATTGCTTAGCCCGTTGAAAGAGATTTTACTTAATGTAAATTGTTAATGAAAATTGTAACAAACAATTATGTCAAGATACAAAAAAACACTTAAATGAGGCGACCATGTTTGACCGTTTCTTTGCGCATCTCCAATTATTAATGCTCGTTAACACCGAAATCCGCTTCAAGTCAGTAAACATCAAATGACTAGCGTTGCTTTCAATGATTAACTTTGAGAAGGGCCATTATAAGATACAAATAAATTCAGCTGGAATTCCAAAGAGAGAGACAACATATTGGGTTTTAAAGAATTTCGTCATGAAAAAACTCCAGCCCTATTTCATCACGGTAACTCTAGAAAAATAAACCGCAAGTTAAACTATTAGTTTTAAACAGGCTAATTGTAAAAGTAGTCCCTGCCTTTGTATAAGTGCTATATTGAGAAAATTTCCTCACCTTTTTTTCATGGCAACCTACCATTTTGTATAAAAACCAGAATTACTGAAAATAAGAGTTATTAGAATTATGCTTCTTTTCTTTTTTTAATTAAAATTATTAATGTGATAAACTGTACTTAATGTTAGTACCTTCGGCTGTCAATGAGTGAAAAGCTAGTCAAGCTAAGGTTTAACCTCCTCCATTATCAGGCTTCGCAAAGTTGATTTACTTCAAGTTGCATCGCCCCGTTTAATAAGAACTTCAATTTATACGTTTTTTCCGGATGAATTAAACGTACAACTAAGATTACTTGCACTAATCGAGCTAACCCATAACATTTGCTTTAAAACTTTCAACTTTACAAGCTTAAAGGAGTTTCAAAAGGAAAATAACGCGATACTTTTGACTAAAAGCAGTCATCTTCATAGAATGTTTCCCTTTAATTTTCAAAAATTTTTGCCTCGGTTGAATAATTATGTGTGTTTTTAACTCTTCTTGCTTTCCTTGTTTAACAAACGATGCTGGGGTAAAGATCTGTTATTATAATAAGCATAGCTTGTGTGTGATAAGGTTATACCGTTGTTGCATGATATTTACTTTGATATTGATCATGACGTTTAGACCTCTCTGCTGCATTTCATTTATTATCGATGTTGGCTGTGCGGGGATTATAAGTTAAGCCCAGTAACTACCCATTGGTGTATTTTGATAGTATGATTTACTCATAATCGGAAGGATCTCTTCCAAAAAGGCCTAAACTTTGGGTCCGCAGTTTAGAAAAAAGGTGGCGATTTTTTTGTTTTGTTTAACTCCCCGCATCCAAACTTTAGAATACCAAAAATCAGTCGACAAACCTCACAATAAACGACAACATGGATAAAATTGAAAACGTTGATCGATTTTCGTTGATTTAATTATAGTTATCTACTGAAACTATCTTTAAGAGGAAGCGAATTATTCGGCTAACCTCTAAATTAGGATTTTAAACGAGACCAGTGTTTAGATACGAAATAATATTTTCTGATAAATACCAAAAAAATAAAAATGAAATGAAGAAACAAAGAATGAACCAAAGGACACTAAAACTTGAAAAAAAGAACCACTACAGTTGCGGTTCATGTCACTTATTAAATAAACGTGATAAATTAATCTTTATATCAAATTTTCCGTTTTTTAATCAGGCTTTATTTTAATGAGCGTGGAAACTTAAGCAAATGACGCCTAGTATAATTAGGGACAAAGGTCAGCCGAAAAGGATGTTCCCAAGTTCTCAAATCTGAAATTGTTCTAAAGTTTTGTTATTTCAAAATTTTGCAGTTACATTGTATGCTCTCTAGTTTTTTGTAAAATAACCCTATATCATTTTAGCCTTCGCCAAATATTATTCAAAGATTGGTAAATTATTAGATAAAAATTCTTGATCGACTATTAGATTAGAAGAGAGGAAAAGCAGTTTTCTTTTTCATCTGGTTTATACAGATATCCAAAAGATTTTGAATCAAAAATATCTAATTGATGCCGGAAGAGGTAAAAGGAGGGTATTACGTAATAAGACGCTTGATTATACCTGAGACCTAGCACAATATATGAGCGTAAGGATTCTCACGTTCAAAGCGTTCTGCTGGAATTAATTCGCGAGTCAATGGAACAAAAGGCGTCAGGGGATTTGCAATAGTATAAAATGAATACCAGTTGGAAAAACACTCCCGCATTTTGCAAATAATAAAATAAATGACTGTTACACCAAAGTCGTACTGTCTTTTATGCCCTTTTTTCCTTTGACCTGCCGAACCCTGTTCTATAATGATCTAAAATAGCTTATAAATTGTAATAAGAAAAAAACATCAATATCAAGGTAATGTATGACGCACAAGCATTCACATGAAAGCGAGTATATTTCAGTAACGTGTGGGTGAAAACGTTTTTTCATATCTGATATGATACTTTCAAAGTATACGTGCATCAGAGCCGCATTTTGAAACAAGAGGACTTATAAGGTTAATTGGGAAGTGTGTTATTGCGGATCGAAGGATCATTTCTTAAGGAGGGATTTGTTTTACGGAAATGTGAATGTATAAAATAAAATCTCTTTACATCTTGCAGATTTTAAGGATTAGTTAAAGAAACCCTGCTGTGACAAAAGAAGTTATTTATTTTTCTGCAAATGTTTTAATAAGAGATAAAATCAGTGTACCTTCATACAATACCATGCACTTACGATACACCATAGCTTTTCCTGGGCCTGACTGAATCTTCCCTTTCCGGCGTGTGTTTGTCCTTTTTACGTTTTTGAGAAAGTGTGGTTTTTAAATAATTTAAAGTATACAAGGATAAGCATGAAACTAAATAGAATAAATGTAAGAGTTAAAAACAAATACCTGAGCGACCAAAATATTTTCACACCGGTACTGTCCTATTTTATCTCAGTGGAACCTGATTGCTTAAAATTAATGTAGCCCAGGCAATCACAATATTTCAAAAACGTCTTAACAAAATCTTTTTGTTATAGTGTTTCTAGTGGAGAAGATAAGTTAAAAGTTCCCTTGTCCACATGTATATCATATTTTTTGGTGTTTGTAAGTTTCTTTAAAACAGCAAGTTACTTAAAGCATTTTTAAAACAACCGATCTTCTTCAGTTATTTTGTTAATGTTGTAATTTGCGTGCTACAAACCTTGCAAAGAGGGCAAGCAAAGTGTAAAATAAGCCGTAAAACAGCGTAAAATATTTACTCTTTAAAAAGCAACAATTGATTAAATGCCTTTTTTGGTAGTTTATTCTTTCGGTACAAAGTAGGCGTTGGTGTCATTTTACCTACGCTATCTTTTGCTCAAAATATTAATGAGAAATCGCTGTGAGTGGGAGGGAAACTGGGATCAAGCACGCTATCCAGGGAAGGCAATATAATTGAATCGAATATTTCAAATAGTATTCTGTTATCACGAGGCCCGGAACCCTTTCTTGGCTTTTTCTTACCCTGCGGCTAGCTTAGGTTACACTATAAAAGGACTTTGGCTTTGAGAACTTCACAGTCTGTTTTCAATTGGTTATCGCGTTTGACGTAAGACGAAAGCTGGCAACGAGTATTGGAAACGTAATTGATCATGGAGACAAAAATCTTCGCTACGACGTTTCTACTTCTGTTTTCTCTTCTCTTACCGCCATCATTGTCGTTCTTACCGCACACTAGACATGGAAAACGTGATTTAGCTCCAGAGGTATTTGAAGTAACTTGTACATACTTCCTACTAGAAAATTAGTTAGATAGGGCAAAGTAACTCCACATAAAAGTTGTCGTTAAATGCTTACTCCTAAGGATTTTATCCACAAAAGCTCACAAACTTAGGCAGTATCACTACGTACATGTAAACTGACATCACAGATATACCCACATCAAGCTTACAATCTACATATCCAACACCTTTTACTTGTATAGTGAAAACGATTGCAAACATACAAATATTTTCAGTTAAGGATGTCATCGACAGACTCATGTTAAGATTAAGATTTATTTAACAGCTTCATATAACCTGCTGTTCTACTTTTAAGAAAAACAAATACTTGTCGGTTAAGTCACTGACTTTAATTCCTACTCTGGTGTTCAGTTCATGAATGTTTTGTTTTTTGGAAAATTTTTCATGGAAAGGCCTTAATTGTTTCTTCCTTTTTCATACACGCATTGAGGATTGAAGATACTATCTTTTTATTTTTGTTTATACTCGTTCCCTGGTTGTATAAATGAAACGTTACCTAAGCCTTCCTTAATTGGCTTCGGTTTCTTGGTGTATTATTAAATTAACTGAAGAGCTATTTAAATAATATCATTGTATAATATATTTTCTAAAATCTTCGGGTGAATATTTTTAAAAAGCATTCAATTATTCTTAGAAATCTATAAAATATCATAAAGGCGTTTGAATGTCATTGATACGTAATCGCTTGCTTTTCCTCTCTTTTTAAAAACGAATTTCTGAAACGTTTCCTAGGCTTACAAATTTGGCCAGTTTAAAAGGAAAGTCTGGTTTATTTTATCTTATTTTTTAAAGCCTCATTTTTAGATTAAAAAGCACTCTGCAAAAATAGGCCGAACAAAGAACACCTCGGATATAGGTTTAAGTCAGATTTGTCCCCTTTATTTTTTATCGTTAATATCAATTCTGTATTTCTCACAAATTAAACTGTGATCATGGCAGATGTTGTCAAAATTAAATAAGCTAACTTTATTCCGTCTTAAAGAGACCACGTTTTAAATTTCAGACTTTGCAACAAAGCTGTTTTGAACTTATTTGATTCAGATCATCGACTTATGGAGTTTTCTTTATGTTTATTTACCTTCTCTAAAGTAACATTTTGTTGTATTGTATTCTTCTCTGCCCGAACCCCGCCTGCGCCTGCGTGCGGGTTTATTTTATTCTTCAATCCATTTAACATACTCACAGTACACACACCTGCAGTTTATGATAACGGAAAAATAAAGAACAATTACTTGAAGTTTCTAATGGTCTTAAGAACAGGAAGTGGCCGTTTTGTTTGATTTGAGGTCGGGTATTCCACTTATACGACTTTGAACCTTTACATGGCTTTCAAACTTTGCATTTAGGAAGTCATCTGGGTTCTTCAAACTCGAGTCTTGAATTTTCTCATAACAAAATGAAAAATGTTATTATTTATTTATTTTTATTTTTTTTTATTTTATTATGAAAAATATTAAGGGATCAAGGCATGTAGATAATTTATTCCATTAATAAATTACGGCTTAGGATTATTCGGGCTATTCCTGCTATTGTCATCAATACATATATATACATTTTCTTTTCTTTTCTTTCTTCCTTCTTCTTTTTGCTTTACCTAAGGTGAACACCAATGCTGAACTAAGAGAGTTTTGCAGACAAGTGGAAAGGAGATGCCTGGAGAGTATATACTCTTGGAGGAAATCGCTAAAAGAAGAGAAAGGACATCAAAAACAATTTAAAAGAGGCCCGAAGATAGATAATAAATTTTTCTCGGATAACAACACTCCCTGATCTACCAAATTAGTTTCTTCAAGGACTCTTTGATTGATTACGTAACCTTCATGCAGTAAGCAGCCCTATTTACATTTTTTTAAATAATAAAGCGTCGAGACAAAATAAACGAAACTCTTATTTTTTCCAGTTCTGAATTTGAATAAGAAATGATTTGTTTCTGCTTAACCATCGACACATGTTTTAAAACATTAAACTCTCATTTTGTTTTAAACATGTTATTTTAAAGTGTCAATATCGATGAAGTCGAAAAGAATCTATTTTTAGAATTAATTTTAGTTAACTTCTCAGGTTAGATGAAATCGATATACAAGCTAAGTAAAATTCTATTTAATTCTTTTGAGTATCTAACGTGCGCTTCATCCGTTATGGGGAATGGAGGGGAATTTTGTCGATTGTCAGGCACAATAATATTTGTTTTGTTTTACCCCTTTCGTCTGTTAAATGAATTGTGTATGTCGATGTCAAAGTTAACGGTTCGTTTCCTTTTTTTCATGATCTACAATTAGCCGTTTATTTTCTCAGGGGAACTTATGCTAAAAATGACAGACACATGTAGTTAATTTTGAGGCAACACGGCTGCCGCTACAGTTTGCCTCGAGAAAATGGCTGGAAAAGTGTGAATTCGAAAGAATAAATCCTGAAACTCTAGGATTCAGGTACGAATTTATCGCTTAATCAGATAGAGGGACCATGACCACTTTTTTCAGCGTTATTTTTTCTGTATTTTTTGAAATTCTACTTGCTAGATTTTTAACGTTTTTTCTTTCTTTTGTGAACCTACGAAGATACAGATACAGAATTTGATTGGGGCCGATTTTCTGATATACATTTGTTGTAAGAAGTATCTTGTTACAGGAAGTGAAAAATGAAAAATCACCACCAAAAGCAGTTATAATTAGTTAAGAAGCCCAGTACACACTGGACTACGGTACTAAACGATTTTTATTCATTGCTACAGTCTTGAAAATCTTCAGGAAAATTTATATGATATGCCCTACTTGTCTGTTTTCGTCTGTTTTGATTATCACAACTTCCTTTAAATAAGACTTTACTCGTTTTAATCTGACTTTACACTGTTAATCCCCTAGCGACGGAATCGGAGTCGGAGTCGGAGTCGTAAGTGGAGTGGTAAGAGCGCTTATGACCTAGCGAAGATCAAAAATCGGAGCTTCGTAAGCGAAGTCATAAGCGCGATGGAATCGGAGTCAGAAGAATCAGAACGTTTCCATTTCTTCCGACTCCTCTTATGACTCCGTCGCTTACGTTCCGCTTATGATCTAGTGAAAACCAGACTGTCGGAGTTGGAAGAAGAAGCGGAAGGATAAACCAATCACAATGCACGTTCTCACGCTTTGTGATTGGTTTAGTTCTTCTGCTTCTGCTTCTGACCACGACAATCTGGTTTTCACTAGATCATAAGCGAAACGTAAGCGACGGAGTCGTAAACGGAATCGGAACGCTGTTTTCACCAGATCATAAGCTCTACGCTTCTGATCACGACTCCGACTCAGACTCCGTCGCTAGTGAAAAACCAGCCTTAAGTTTGGTCAGTACTCCAATGTTCGTCACTGCTTTGCTATTCCAGCATCAGGTTATCGATCATCTTTGTAGAGGTGCTGGTTAACTTTTAACCAAGCTGTCATTGATATTAGCTGTGATATTAGCTGTCGGTTTGGTTTAAGTATTAAATCCTGCAATGTTGGACTGACGTTTCACGACTACTTTAGATGCATAGTTTGTGTTAATAAACGCACCTTCGGGCTGTATAACCCTACTATTTGATTTAGTGAATCTAAACTGCAATGACACCAAGACATGACACAACAAAAAAATCATTTGACCATCGCCTTACTCTCTCTTAACCAGTATTTTATCCTTTGTGTTTGTATTATCATGTATGAATCCACACTGTATGTCAACCCTATGTGTACTTAAAAATCATGCCTCTCTAAAACGGTGGTACGTCTCTTTCCCGTTTGTTTAAAGTCAGCTGATCTGGAGTCAAGGTAGAACGCTTGCCATTCGACGCTGTGCTCTTCTTGTGTCCTGATGTAATTGACAAATTAAAAACAAATTAATGCCACAGATCAATGATTATAACAATTATCATATCTTTTCAACTTCATGTATTAATAAACGATTAAATGAATTAATATAATTATATCAACAAAACAAATCTAAGATTTTCCAAGCGCTTGATATTTTTTCTTCAGGCCCGTTAAATATATGATTATATACAGTCTGTATTAGTTATAACAATTAAATAGGGCTCGTGGCAGAGTGGAAAAGGAAAAAAAAAATGGCATAAAGAATCACTAAATAATTGGAATACCCCCCACCGCTATAAAAAATAAAATAAAATAAAATAAAACAAAAAAGAAAAAGAAAAAGAAAAAAGAATAATCAGAAAATAGTCAGACCTAAAAAGCACATTAAAGGTTCTTTTTTACTTTCTCTGAAATTTGAACGTCATAAAGACAGCTTAAGAGCTTCATACTGTGATGTTACCGCCATAGTCATAAACCGAATTCCACTACTGCCAAATACCTTGCACGTTTCCACCTGCAGGTCGTAAGCAAGTACTGAGCATTGTTGATTCAACCTGTTCTTTTGTATTTACGCATGGAAACGTGCAAACAAAGCAAGCGGTATTCTTTCTTGTACTATATTGAAGTTAGTAATTTTTTTCTTTTGTCGGTGTTCCGACTTCCTCTTCCATTCTATGCGCGATTTATCTTCCGCAATGTTTTTCGATTCAATGTGGCTTTTTCCCTTTATTTTCTTCAGTCTTTTACCCCTAGATAAACACAAATCGTTTGGCTCGCTAATAGTCAACAAAAAGCTGTACAACACTGAGGTTGTGATGGACTAAGGCTTGGAGTTAGAACAAAGAAGTGCTCTAGGAAAAAAATTTCTGACAAATTGTCCAACGATTAGTTACTCAAAACTCCATAGTGAGGAAATAAGATAAGATAAAAATAAAGTTTATCATTTAGGTTAAAGTAGAGAACACAAGATCTGGACTTTAACTTTTCTTTCTTACTTTTTTTTTCAGAATAGTAACTCAGCAATTCAGGGTTTGAGTATACCAAGTATACTCTAAAGTGGTTTTCCAACAAATGGCCAATAAATTGCCAAGTTCTCAGTTTAACCTACTCAGAGCTTCATAAATCAAATTGGCTATCAAATTTTGGTCATTAAGAGTGGTATAGAATACAGATCGTTATTTCTAATTTAAAACAAAACAGTACCAAACTGGAAACGCCGTGAAAGTTCTTCCTTAAGACGGAAGACACAAAAGCATCATCCCGTCTTTCACGTCTTTCAAAACGCCTTCTTTGATCAAGTCGCCTTCGTCGTCTGTAATTCCTCCGTTTTGGCCCCTCAAACGCATCAGAACTTGTCCGGCTTAACAGCTCACAGCTTAGAATAAACCATAACGTTATGAAGACGAATAACTTTTTGGACTCCATATCCCTAATTCGCAACAATGCTGCCTCCGGCTGTTAACAAGTTTGTGATGACTCGTCAACTGCTTTGAGTTTTGAACTACATGAGATCACGGACAAGACCTCCTGAGGCGCTAAGTGACGTTTCTGTTTCGATTCATCTTATTTCAGTTTTATAATTCAATAACGGAAAATGTGTTGAAAGACCACCCGAGGTTATGTGGTTATCTAGTATTTCTGTTTTGAATGCACTATTGTTGGTCTTTGGTTAAGGCAGGTTATGTGTTTTACCTTGGTAATTATCATTTACGTTGTTTACTGACATGCGAAGAGGAAACTTGGGGAAATAGCTTTGTTATGTTTTGCATTTTATTTCTAGTGATGCTAACGGAACTATTAATGTTATGTTCCACTGTAAAGGTGTTCGTCATAAGTAAGCAAATAGTTTGCTATGACTTACTTATAAGCACTAAAGTAAGCCGGCGCCGCCGCCGTGGCAATATATGACCTTAATGATAATGACAAAATAAAGTAAGGGTCAGTAAGCTGATTTGTAAAAACACAAACTTAGAGAAATTTGGCGCCATCTGCGTCGAAAAGGGCCAGAAGGAACACTTTTTTTGCGTCCGATAACGACAAGAGACGAAAAAAAAGAAGAGGAGTAATTATAAGGGCGAGGAGAAAGAAAGGACGTGAAGGGGGGTGGGGATAGAATTGCATTAGTTACACTTTTGGTTTTTATGTTAACTATGTAGGTTTATGTTGGAGATGAAGGAAATTAATTCTTTTGAGTATCTAACGCGCGCTTCATCCGTTATGGGGAATGGAGGGGAATTTTGTCGATTGTCAGGCACAATAATATTTGTTTTGTTTTACCCCTTTCGTCTGTTAAATGAATTGTGTATGTCGATGTCAAAGTTAACGGTTCGTTTCCTTTTTTTCATGATCTACAATTAGCCGTTTATTTTCTCAGGGGAACTTATGCTAAAAATGACAGACACATGTAGTTAATTTTGAGGCAACACGGCTGCCGCTACAGTTTGCCTCGAGAAAATGGCTGGAAAAGTGTGAATTCGAAAGAATAAATCCTGAAACTCTAGGATTCAGGTACGAATTTATCGCTTAATCAGATAGAGGGACCATGACCAATTTTTTCAGCGTTATTTTTTCTGTATTTTTTGAAATTCTACTTGCTAGATTTTTAACGTTTTTTCTTTCTTTTGTGAACCTACAAAGATACAGATACAGAATTTGATTGGGGCCGATTTTCCGATATACATTTGTTGTAAGAAGTATTTTGTTACCGAAAGTGAAAAATGAAAAATCACCCCCAAAAACTTAGTTAAGAGGCCCAGTACACACTGGACTACGGTACTAAACGATTTTTATTCATTGCTACAGTCTTTAAAATCTTCAGGAAAATTTATATGATATGCCCTACTTGTCTGTTTTCGTCTGTTTTGATTATCACAACTTCCTTTAAATAAGACTTTACTCGTTTTAATCTTACTTTACACTGTTAATCCCCTAGAGACGGAATCGGAGTCGGAGTCGGAGTCGTAAGTGGAGTGGTAAGAGCGCTTATGACCTAGCGAAGATCAAAAATCGGAGCTTCGTAAGCGAAGTCATAAGCGCGATGGAATCGGAGTCAGAAGAATCAGAACGTTTCCACTTCTTCCGACTCCTCTTATGACTCCGTCGCTTACGTTCCGCTTATGATCTAGTGAAAACCAGACTGTCGGAGTTGGAAGAAGTTGGAAGGATAAACCAATCACAATGCACTTTCTCACGCTTTGTGATTGGTTTAGTTCTTCTGCTTCTGCTTCTGACCACGACAATCTGGTTTTCACTAGATCATAAGCGAAACGTAAGCGACGGAGTCGTAAACGGAATCGGAACGCTGTTTTCACCAGATCATAAGCTCTACGCTTCTGATTACGACTCCGACTCAGACTCCGTCGCTAGTGAAAAACCAGCCTTAAGTTTGGTCAGTACTCCAATGTTCGTCACTGCTTTGCTATTCCAGCATCAGGTTATCGATCATCTTTGTAGAGGTGCTGGTTAACTTTTAACCAAGCTGTCATTGATATTAGCTGTGATATTAGCTGTCGGTTTAAGTATTAAATCCTGCAATGTTGGACTGACGTTTCACGACTACTTTAGATGCATAGTTTGTGTTAATAAACGCACCTTCGGGCTGTATAACCCTGCTATTTGATTTAGTGAATCTAAACTGCAATGACACCAAGACATGACACAACAAAAAAATCATTTGACCATCGCCTTACTCTCTCTTAACCAGTATTTTATCCTTTGTGTTTGTATTATCATGTATGAATCCACACTGTATGTCAACCCTATGTGTACTTAAAAATCATGCCTCTCTAAAACGGTGGTACGTCTCTTTTCCGTTTGTTTAAAGTCAGCTGATCTGGAGTCAAGGTAGAACGCTTGCCATTCGACGCTGTGCTCTTCTTGTGTCCTGATGTAATTGACAAATTAAAAACAAATTAATGCCACAGATCAATGATTATAACAATTATCATATCTTTTCAACTTCATGTATTAATAAACGATTAAATGAATTAATATAATTATATCAACAAAACAAATCTAAGATTTTCCAAGTGCTTGATATTTTTTCTTCAGGCCCGTTAAATATATGATTATATACAGTCTGTATTAGTTATAACAATTAAATAGGGCTCGTGGCAGAGTGGAAAAGGAAAAAAAAAATGGCATAAAGAATAACTAAATAATAGGAATACCCCCTACCGCCATAAAAAATAAAATAAAATAAAATAAAACAAAAAAGAAAAAGAAAAAGAAAAAGAAAAAGAAAAAAGAATAATCAGAAAATAGTCAAACCTAAAAAGCACATTAAAGGTTCTTTTTTACTTTCTCTGAAATCTGAACGTCATAAAGACAGCTTAAGAGCGGCATATTGTGATGTTACCGCCATAGTCATAAACCGAATTCCACTACTGCCAAATACCTTGCACGTTTCCACCTGCAGGTCGTAGACAAGTATTGAGCATTGTTGATTCAACCTGTTCTTTTGTATTTACGCACGGAGACGTGCAAACAAAGCAAGCGGTATTCTTTCTTGTACTATATTCAAGTTATTAATTTTTTTCTTTTGTCGGTGTTCCTATTTCCTCTTCCATTCTTGGTGCGATTTATCTTCCGCAATGTTGTCGATTCAATAGGGCTTTTTTTCCTTCAGTCTTTTACCCCTAGATAAACACGATTCGTTTGGCCCGCTAATAGTCCGCAAAAAGCTGTGCAATAGGTTGTGGTGGACGTAGGCTTGGAGTTAGAATAAAGAAGTGCTTTAAGAACAAATTGTCTGACAAATTGTCCAACGATTAGTTATTTAAGACTTCATAGTGAAGAAATAAGATGACGGATAAAAATAAAGTTTATCTTTAGGTAAAAGTAGAGAACATAGGATCTGGACTTTATCTTTTCTTTCTTACTTTCTTTTTCAGAACAGTAACTCAGCAATTCAGGGTTTGGGTATACCAAGTATACTCAACAATGGTTTTCCAATAAATGGCCTTATACTCGTTCGAAATGACTATTGCCAAGTTCTGTTTAACCTACTCAGAGCTTCATAAATCAAACTGACTATCAAATTTTGCTAATCAATAGTGGTATAGAATACTAATTGTTATTTCTAACTTAAAACAAAACAGTACCAAATTGGACACGCCGTGCAAGTTCTTCCTTAAGACGGAAGACACAAAAGCATCATCCCTTCTTTCGCGTCTTTCAAAACGTCTTCTTTGATCAAGTCGCCTTCGCCGTCTGTAATTCCTCCGTTTTGGCCCCTCAAACGCATCAGAACTTGTCCGGCTTAACAGCTCACAGCTTAGAATAAACCACAACGTTATGAAGACAAATAACTTTTTGGACTCCATATCCCTAATTCGCAACAATGCTGCCTCCGGCTGTTAACAAGTTTGTGATGATTCATCGTCTGCTTTGCGTTTTGAACTACATGAGATCACGAAGAAGACCTCCTGAGGCGCTAAGTGACGTTTCTGTTTCGATTCATCTTATTTCAGTCTTATAATTCAATAACGGAAAATGTGTAGAAAGACCACCCGAGGTGATGTGGTGATCTAGTATTTATGTTTTAAATGCACTATTATTGGTCTTTGGTTAAGGCAGGTTATGTGTTTTACCTTGGTAATTATCATTTACGTTGTTTACTGACATGCGAAGAAGGAAACGTGGGGAAATAGCTTTGTTATGTTTTGCATTTTATTTCTAGTAATGCTAACGGAACTATTAAAGTTATGTTCCACTGTAAGGTGTTCGTCATAAGTAAGCAAATAGGTTGTTATGACTTACTTATAAGCACTAAAGTAAGCCGGCGCCGCCGCCGTGGCAATATGTGACCTTAATGATAATGAAAAACACAAACCTAGAGAAATTTGGCGCCATCTGCGTGGAAAAGGGCCAGAAGGAACGCTTTTTTGCGTCCGATAACGACCGAAATTCACAAGTGACGAAAGAAAAGAAGAGGAGTAACTATAAGAGCGAGGAGAAAGAAAGGACGTGAGGGGGGATAGAATTGCATTAGTTACACTTTTGGTTTTTATGTTAACTATGTAGGTTTATGTTGGAGATGAAGGAAAAGGCCTATTTCGCGACCTAATGCTCTCAAAATCCAGCTCAAGATATAAATATTGATGTCTAGCATTTTTTATCTGCATTCGTAGAACTCAGACAAGGAACTTCAAAATTTCAGTTTCACTTTGAACTACCTCGGTTGCCTGTACGTATACTGATGGCCTCAGGCGTGATTCGGCTTTTTTTGGTGTTTATTAGAGTCACCAAATGAATGGATTTCTTTTAGATATTGGCTTTGGGGACCACCTAATGCTAATAAAAGGTCACCTAGCTAGCCCCCTCTACTAAATATATTTTTAAACTTTAAACTGACACCACGAAAGCTATAATATTAAATAGAGCTGCATAAAACTGAAAGCATTGTCAATTTCATGAATTCAGATACAGCTCAATGCCTTGTTCCTAACTATCGTCTTATGGAAATAAAATACTAGTCCCCCCCCCCCCCAAAAAAAAAAAAAAAAAAAAAAAAAAAAAAAACGAAATGGCTTTTCTTCTTTCTTTTTATGGACGAAGTTAACGGCAATCTGCATGTGTCCTTGATAAAACTCGCCCTTTAATTTATTTCACAAACACAAACAAACAACAAACAATTCAACATCATGAGATAAACAGGAGTTGTTGTCGACATGTGCAAGATGCATTTCATGTTATTATGGCACCCCCCCAACTTCTTTCAAAAATTGAAATGCGAAATAAAAAAAAATATTCCTCATCGTTTTATCTAACACGCTCCGTTTGTCAAACTTAGGTAGATTTTTTTGAAGTCGATATCTTAAATAACATTACACGCCCTCCATGAAGCGTAGTTATAAAAATTTTTTGATGGGGAACTTACGAATGAACTTACACACTAACTTTATACCGCTTCGTTCTCCCTTTCTAGTAGACGAGCAGCGACGCTAAACTGACTCCATGTGAGGGAATCCAAAACAATCTTGGATTCTGGATTCCACGCCTCCCCATCGACCACTCCAGAAAATACCATAACATACCATAATGTTCTTTGTTTGTCACCCCAAAATTTTGCATAAGCATTGTCTTCAGTTTCTCTTGGGAGTTGAAATTATGGTATTAAAATTATTTGAAGTTAAAAATTATTCTATTATGGTATGTTATGGTATTTCTGCAGTGATCAATTGATTCCGGATCCAGTTACTGGATTCCGGGTCCTTTGTCAGTGGAAATTGGATTCCGGATTCTAATCGTATTTGAGATTTTGGTTTCCTTGAGCTGCATTCCCGATTCTAAGGCCCAGGAGCCGGATTCACACAAGAAAAAATTTCTCCGATTTCCGGAATTCGGATTCCCTTACAGGGGGCTAAATTTAAGTTCAGGCTTTCTCGGCGTTACTTTTTTTTTAGGGCCCCCAACGCGTTTTTCGGGTTCAGGGATACGGTTTTATTTGAAGGTTTGGATTCAGAATAGGGCGAGATTCGGGATCGAAAGTCGGGTTCGGGATTGAGCCAAAATTTACGCCCGTATTCTTGGTTTTCACCCACGTGACCTGTAAATTGACCACGTGCGGCGTCCGCCATATTGGTGCCCCTGACATGTAAACAAAGCTGACTCGAAGAGACGCGCGACTGGAGAAGGACCGAGATGTAACAATGGTTATGTGTATTGTTGTAGGCTGTGCGAGCAAAAGCGATACAGCAAAAGGAGTTGGTATGTTTTGTATACCTTCGGTTATTTATAATCAAGGTGAAGAAACGGAGGAACTAACGAGAATGAGGCGCGAGAAGTGGATTTCTGCGATTAGCAGAGACGATGTGAAATACAAGGACATCTTAAAGAGTGAAAGAGTTTGTGGCCGCCACTTCGTGTCTGGCAAACCTTCCCAGCGCTGGGATAAACACAACGTCGATTGGGCTCCGAGTTTAAACCTTGGCAAAAAGAGATACAGAGAAAAAAGCTCCGAGGCGGCGACCGAACGGGCTGAAAGAGCAAAAGCTCGAAGGAAGAGTGCCTTAGAACAACAGCAACTCGAGGCGGCGAAGAAAATGACACTTCTGAATGAAAGCGGTCCACGGGTTGTGGATATAAATTTTTCCAGCGATTCAGCAAGTACCTTGGGAGATGTTGAAGCGATGGATCTCGCGCATGAAGATGCTCCAGTTGTTTGTGCTAACGAAGCAGAACAACAACAAGAAAGTATGGCAACTGGTGTAGAAACACAAACAGAAGCATTCGATTATTTATATCGCAAAACTGTCAGATGTGAAGCGCCCGACAAGGACGCTGAAACCCAAACAGAGGCATTCGATTATTTATATCGAGAAACTGGCTGTTTAGAAGCGCCCGACAAGGACGCTGAAACCCAGACAGAAGAATTTGACTATCTTGTCCCCAAAAGTAGCGGCTATCAAGCACCAGACAGGGAATTCTTTAAAGGTGACGAGAAGGTGCGTTTTTACACAGGTCTGCCTTCATACGAAGTACTCTTGGTGACATTTGAACATGGGACCCTCTTATGCCATAAACTAGTCTGAAAATTTCCTTACCATTTGCCCAAACTGTGATCCGACCGGTTTACCCTTGTAAGTGGAAAAGAGCCTTGTTGTCGTAGTCTCGTAGTGAGGGCTAAAGAATGGTACCAATAAGTGTGACGATACACGCGTAGTGAAATTGATTATATCACCCTGTTTAAACTTTAAGATCGACTGAAGACCATGAAAACCAATTACCCTATTCAGCGGCACATACCCGTTTAGGCCAAATAAGGGAGTTCCACGCGAGGGAAGTTAAACAGTTTTTTTTATTTATATATATGATGTGTTTTTGATATCGCTAAAACTCATTTTGATACGATTCTTGCGATGGGGATGACCAGACGTTTAAAAGTGATGTTATACGAGACTATTGCGACGACGATTTTTAGGACACCAACGTTGAAACTTTCTTTTTTACCATTTGATAACAATGTCGCGACAATGCTGCGACGCTGTGTTACACTGATAATCGTCGTTGTGAAACGTCCCGTGTAACATGGCCATGTTAAATGCTGTCGTCGTCGTCAGTTTGATAGCCTGCGTGGCAGGCGTTCGAAAGGGAATGGGAAGGGAATTGAGGGCTTGAAAGCTCTATTAGAACTTATCGCGTTCTAGTTTATATATGAATATCCGTGTTTCGTGTTATCAAAAAGCTTATACAGAATTATATTGTTCGACAAGTCTCTTGTAACCGATAATGTCAATTATTGTTTAGAGTGGTTGGCCTAAACACATTTGTAATGTCCCCAAAAAGGCTACAGCGAGGGACCAGCGTAAGAGGAAGTGATCTATTAGTAAATAATGTGTTTAATTCAGTAGCGTTGAGCGTATAATTATGTTAATGAGTCACAAATCAGTCGTAGCACGTAAAGGTTTGCTTGTTGCAAGTATGTTTTAAATTACCTTAAACTGAAGTACAATGTACGAAACGTAAGAACGTGACAGCTCTAGTGTTAGACTGTATACTTTAACCCTGACCCATCCTAGCTAGGGGGTGGGAATCCTTTTCTGATCCGGGAAGCCCATTGTTTATAAGCCCCCGGCTTCTATATAGGCTTCCTTGCCTTTGCCACTTTAAAGATTTGATCTTGTAAACAATAGACCTTGTCACGGTTTTGGACGCCATCTTGACGAGTAGGCAAATGCGTGAGAAATTACAGTATTTGTATGAGAATCTAATGTCGAATAATTTCCGTAGAACAGCTGGGTTAAAAAAAAAAAAAATCAATTGTAAACTAAAGCTTCACGCCTAAGGATCGGCTACTGAAAAAAATTGAGGGCGTTACATGCGCTAGAAGACCTAGAACCACTTTTTAAAATTTTCTATACCGTTCTTTGTCTGTAAGAAAGTCCGGGGAAAAATTACAGACAAATATAGGGAAAATCCAAAGCAAGCCTCTGGAGAAATTTAAGCACAGGTATGCCCCCCCGCCAAATTTTTTAGCGCAATCCTTTGCCTTGTAGCTTTAGTTTACAATTGATATTTTATTGATTATTTCAGAACAGCCGTCAGTTATGGAAATTATTCGACATTCAGATTTTCATATAAACACTGTAGTTTCTCACACGTTTGCCTACTCGTCAAGATGGCGTCGAAAACCGTGACAAGGTCTATTTAGTTAGAAATGTGCATTATCTTTAATGTACCATAAATTTCTTTACACTGTCGATTGAAAAAAAAAAAAAAAAAAAAGAAATGAATGGATGGATGATTCGATTGTCGAAGCGATTGCAAAATCTCAGCAGTTTAGTTGGCTGCCGAGTGGGCGGACTACCCTCGCAATAATGGCGAGTGCCGCTCATTTGAAAATTCCAGAACCAGTTAACATGGTTAACCGGGGGAGTCCTAAAAGCTACCAAAATGCTGTTTTGTGGGGGTTTGGTCCAGCACCCTTAAGGATTAATTAAAGCCAATGAAGGAGATGTTGTTAGAACGTCCGACCACTGAGATCAGAATTAGATTGTGTGGGCTAAAAAGGCTTAACATTCTCTAGTTTATTAAACGGCTTCCTCGACACATTGAAAGTCGTCAAAGGCCGATACACACGAGGGGTTTTGCTCCCGGAGCATGCTCCATGCTCATTTTGCACGTGTCAGTACACACGAGGGAGCGTTTTCAAGTTCGCTCAATTTGCTCCGGGCGCTTTCTCCCAAATATTTAACCGGTTAAATATCGTGGAGCATTTTGCGGGGTGGAAATTCTGCTCCCGAGGATGAGGTATACCCATGAAATCGTTGGTACACGCGGAGGAGCTTTGCTCCCGGAGCGTGCCCCTGGAGCATGCTCCGGGAGCAAACCCCCCGTGTGTATCGGCCTTAAGGCCCAGGTGTAGTGTTTGTTCAAGCTTTATACAAATATTTTTGGTAGCTCCAGGAGCTGCTACAGATCATTTTGAATTGAAGAGGTATCGGTCTGTGTGAGGTGAGGGGTTGGCTTACACAAGCTAAGGAGGTATCTGTTTTGCTTTACATTGCATTAATATGACAGTGCACCTTCAAGGACCAATTCTACACCGTTCGTACGTCTGAAAAATGTGTCCGTAACTGAGAAAGCTATTTGATAGAGAAAACCGAGAGTTGTTCAGTTAGGGCTTTGCGAACGGAAACTGCTAGATTTACTTAAACGTTGGCACTTTAATTAAATTGCCATTTGTAAAACTTGGCCCAAATAGTCTTTACTGCTACTTTGAAAAAACATTCAGAGACATACATTTTTCCCCGCAGGATCCCGGTACTCCCTTTCACTGAGATAGACAGCCTCGGAAATGCGCAATAAAAGTATTCTTTTTATCATAGTGACGTTTACAGACATCTATAATTAGTTCTAAGGATAGTTGTGCGCAATAAAACTATCCTTTTTATTATAGTGACGTCAATAGACATCTATAATTAGTTCTAAGGACAATTACCGGCCTGACGGTTTGTCTGTTCCAAGTTAAGAGGTAACCCTCCTTTGCAAAACGTAAAGTGTCTTTTAAATTGCAATTAGAGATAGCATCCTTTTCTTTCGCATTGTTAACGAATCTAGATTATGAATACTCTTGTTTTGGCCTCTGAACAGGATTGAATGCGATAGATTCAGTATTGACAAGGCCATTAGTGGGTCAGTGGCGGGCTAGGGTACCTTCAGAAACTTTAAACCGTCTGTTTTTCTTGTCAATGACACTCACTTCCGACATATGTTACTAAGCTTAACTTATAAGAGTGGAAGTGATTGCAAGGTTTGGTAATGATTGAAAAGGCCACATGCAGTTAAAATTTGGTATAAATTCTTGGTTTAATCGTGTGCGCTTTACCAGAAACGTAGCCGGAGTACAGATATTTCAATTCTGAGGTGAGTACGAATAATTTAATTTAGTGCCCAGAGTAAATTTTGTAGCAATCTGCAGTGGGTATGAATAGTAATCGTCAGTAAAGCTCAAAATTCGTTTTCGCTGATACTTTTTTAAAACATTGATAGAATATTGTATCGTAGGTAACAAAAGAGGGTTAATTTGGTCTAATTTTTTGCGTTTATAAGGCGAATTAAATAGAATCGGTTTGGTCCGTTTTGAACCAAAATGAACTCTTTGATGAACTGAAATTTCACTTTATTCGTGGCTCTCTCAAGTTAGCGGGATAAAGCCAATAAATGATTTCTTACTATGAAGAAATAGTTCGCCCCTTGGTAAATTAGATATTGTTTATATTGAAGACTGCTTACTGTATAAGATCCATGGAGAGGCACGTGCACGTCGTTGCCTTTTCTGAATGGCTCCAAAGTGACATAAAAGTCGGTACATATACGCCAAAATAAATCCTCAGAATAAGCTTTCTCTATAGTTTACGGATAGATGTTTTATGTTTTCTTTTCATTTCTGTGGGATCTTTTTAAGTTTTTCGATACGACCTCCCCGAAGTTTGCTAATGAGGACTTTTCGATGTCCGCCATATTGAAACTGTGAGAAAGTACTGTGAAAAGGAGTATTACTTTTGGATAAAATGAGTCTAAAATTATAAGTGCAAGTGAGATTTAACTTGGTAGTACACAAATGTCACTGCCTCTATGTTATTTTTAAAGTTAACGGCAATTTGGCAATGGTTTTATACTGGACTCTGATTCCATGCATGATATCGTGACATTGATTTCCTACACGTCACGCACCGACCCTTGACGCCATCATAAGACTTCATCTTCACTTCGAATAACCGGGGTGAGCGACTTCTGCACTGATATCTTCAGCTTTATATTCCTTTTCCTTTGGGTTTAACGGTAAGGAGGAAAGGAATTCACAAAATCTTTATTTTGACTGCTTGAAGCCATTGTGCAAATACAGAACACTTGTGAAAATATTTTATATGTCTTCAAGATTGTCAACACGGGATTTTAAAAACAGAACTAAGCAATCAGATAAAGGTTCGGTCAGAAGATACCTTCAAAACTGAGAAAAGTTAGATTTTGGACGGGCATAAAGTCGCTTAAAATGGGGATTAGTTTGAGACTGGCATCAACAAGATGCATGAAAAATATTTCAGTACATATGTTTACATTTGCTGATGAGCTTCCGGATAATTGAATTACTTTCGCGCAATTCACAACCAGTCTTTACGGCAAGAAAACCCTCATTTACCAATAATTTTACAAAACGGCAAATCCTAGGAAATTCGGTATTCTCCATCTTTCCCACTTCTGAATACATCCCGCAATTTTCCTGGTGAGAATTTAATTAGGAAGTGATCAGTCTCCTGCGTAGGAGGCGTCGAAAGGGGTAGGGGGCTAAAAAATCGTGTGTTCACTTTCCGTTTTCCTGCACTTTACCGGGATGGCTCGGCTCACGCCTTGTTTCCTCGTCAAATTGTAGTTGACCCACTAGCTGAGATCTCGTTTCGAGCAACTGGGATCTCGTCAGCCTGTCTTCTCATACAAACACGACAAAAATTTTATAAGGATACAAGGCATGAGCCGAGCCAGAACGATAAAGCGGGCAAGCCGGGCTAACCGAGCTGGCTCACTTCATATCAGACAGCTTCAGTGGGTGCGAAACAGAAATTGATCTTATGACTATATAGTCAGAGGTTTCTGTTTTCAAACACCAGAAAAGTCCATGACATGACTATTTTCCCGTTGCCGACCTCATGAGCTTGGATTGGGTGACGAAAATTTGAGTTTCGGTGCAGAAACTAACAGTGAATAGTTCGGTCTGGAATCGCGTATATAGGGTTTTCGCTAGCCTGCGAAAACATCCGTTTCTCCTCGCTCTTCGCCGCTGGGGACGTTTCGCGCGGAGGAACGTCTGCGACTCAGCGACAAAAATTCCATACTGATGACGTAAAATCTGTCCGGAATCTGGTCAGAAGCGCTGATTGGTCGACTGAGTAGTTACATTGTTTTAGCTATTGTTTACGAATGACAGACAAAAGACAAAAGGCCCAGAGGTCAAATGTAAACGCGAAGAATCTCTAGCAAAACAGTCAATATTTGTTGAATATACTCTTCTCTAGAAGAAGTATTTGAGTTCTGCTGGAGCTCGTTGGCAGATGAACACAAAAATTTACCAAAATCGACCAGAAGACACGTAAAACTGTACAAATTTGTATTTGGAACCCCATGACTACCGGATTTATTTTGTAAACATTGATTTGCGTCATCAGTATGGAATTTTTGCCACTGAGTCGCAGACGTTCCTCCTCGCGAAACGTCCCCAGCGGCGAAGAGCGAGGAGAAACGGATGTTTTCGCAGGCTAGGTTTTCGCGGAATCGACGGCGAATGAATGTATTTATTACGTTTCAATTCCAAATGAATAAGAAAGAAATAACCAAATTCGACGTAGATTTTAAGAAATTTTTCTGTTGGCGTTCTAATCTAAGCCGAATGTTGACGAATAATTTTTTAGAGGTTAGATCTGCAAACGGGTGTGAAAAATGTCATTTTTGGTCTGAGACAGGGCCAAGAATTCCCGGGTTTATCTCAAATTGTCAAAATTTTCTGGCAGAGCCCTCTAGAGAAACTCGCTCCTTCAGCGGTCTTTCAGCTCGTGCTGTGAGGGCTAACCCCATCAGAATTCGAAAAAAGCTTCGCTGTCCCTGATTTTTCACTGTCCTCTCAGGGAAAAGTTAATGTCAAACTGAAATGTGCCTGGCAGGACCATAACTAGTAGGAAATAGAGCAATTCAAAGGTATAATCGTATAATTATGTCACTATAACTAGTCGTGTCTTCCCACTTTCTTCCATTGTCAGCTATCTTTGCGCTTGCTACCATTGATGACGTTTGAAGTCCATCAACATAAAAAAGGGGTGTCAAATCCAACGGCGGGGGTGGGACAAGGGGGAAGGGGCTTGGGGGCAATAAGAAAGGTACTATGTAAGACATGCAAGGTAGACTGTATATTGTAATTTTAGTGTACACTCTTTTAACCCGGAATTTCCTTGATTTTGTACAAGGAGCAACAAGAACAAATACAGTGAATAGCAAAGGATTGCGAACCAATTTTGTTTCGCAGTAGAGGATAAGGAAATATACTGCGCGACTTTTGGTCAGCCGAAATGGTAGCAGATCTAGTAACGAAAACGAAGGAAAGCAATATTGTTAGTCACCCTAAATCGTTCCTTTGAACGACCGATTAACATGTAAAAATTGCAGAAAAGAACTGTTAAGCGGGGTTTAGTGTTATGAGAGTTAATGTGACTTGGGAAACAGAAAAGTGTCCTTTGTCCTTATTAACCGGTGTCCGTATGTGGCGGGTCATTTATAGAGAAAATACATGAACTTTTTGTCGGGTCACTGGAGACTTTCTCTTACTTCCGGGTGTCCATATTAAGCGGGTGTCCGTAGAGCGAGGTTCCAGTGTACCATATACTTTTCAGTTATTTCTAGAAAACGTCAGCCTCTGATTTTGAACGTTTTCCTAATAATGATTCGCTTTTCTTAAGTCAGGAAAGTTTCTTAGAATGCCAAGAAGAATTTTGAGGAAAATTCCATTTCCGGTTCATTTGTCATGCATATTGCATGACACATGGAATAATGTTATAAAAGATGCGGGGTCATGGAGAGTTTAAAGCGCCCATGGAATGAGACAAAAGGCCTGTTTACACGGAGGTGGGGGACACCAGGTAGGCGAGGTAACATGTGACGGGTCACCCTACCTATCATGTAAACGTAACTTCAAGTTAAAATGAGAGATTATATGGACAGGCGGGTTACGCCAGCTAAGCGGGTTACCTCACCTCCATGTAAACAGGCCCTTATCGTACTAAAAATGAAGCAGGTAAGTTAATAACTCAAGCGAAGGAGAAGGGTATACAAGTGAGATTTGGCCAAGCACGTTGGAGTCTAATGGGCTTTTGGCCTAGTCGCAGCGCGAGGTCACGCAGACGGACGCGATAACAAACAGTTACCGCCGAAGTCTGGTGCGTTCCTTGTTGCTTTTCTTTACATCGGACTTTTCTACAGGTGAATTTGGTCTATCTAAAAGTTTATTAGAGATTTTTATAGTGATAAGTGGTGAAACTATGTGCCGTTTGATTGTAGCGGTGACCTTCGTTTTGCCTGTCTCCGTGATGTAAGACATTCCAACATGGCGGAAGGCGAAATTGTGCTCACTTAAGAAGTATTTGCCAAAAAAGTACAAAAGGTCCCAAACAAATAAAGTTGTAGAAAGTTAAAACCATCCTTTAAAGATGACCAAAAGGTTTCCTGGTGAGATTCGTTGCGTACCGCGGCATGTTCTGACATGTTTGTTTTGACCAGCCATCAAACCAAATTCAGAAAGGATGTTGGTGTGCTTCCTCAAAAAATCATATGTTTTTTGTGAGCAGAGTTAGCGAGCTGTTGTCGGAATCAATGGACTAAAGTAACTTTAGTTTAACTGGATATTCGTAAAGATACTCTAGAAAGATGGACTAAATGACTGAATAACTTTGTGAAAGTTGGCAAATTTTAAGGTAATTACCACGAAAAATACCGTTTACAGTTAAAATTAAATTTCTTTCAAACGAAACCTTATTCATTCAAATAAACTTTGAAATTATATGTATAGTGCCTGAGCCTACAAATGAACAAAGTATAAGCGAAATCAAATTTTGAGCTCTGTCCGCCGCCCGATATTTGAATTGATTCTTACTGATATCTCCTCTTAATATTCATGAATTGCACGCAACTTGCTGTTATCTAAGCAAACTGCATGTAAGCAAGTGGCAGTAAGTATAAGGAAATCAATCTATGGGTTGAAATATTTTTCGTGCTATTTTTCCTTGCTATGATCGCGTCCACCCTACAAGATCTGAAATACTTGGCTCTTCAACCCAGAAAGCAATTGCCTGCAATTAATTATTAATTATTAATTAAGTAATTGTTCCTCTTAGACCCTGTTTACATGGAGTGGGGGACGCCCGGTCTAGTGGGTAGGTTTCTTTTATTTTGTGTCCCCCAGAGCGTGAAAACAAAAGAAACCAACCCCACTAGACCGGGATCCCCCACTCCATGTAAACAGGCCCTTAGAATGGAATAACCTGCTATTTATACTAAAAATGATTTCATTGCCATTAATAGAAAGTGGCATATTGTTCAAAGCCTAAAGTCCAATGAAGGGAGGCATCGACGTTTGATCTTGCCACTTTGTATTACTACGCGGGTATCGCCATTCAAATCATTTGTAAATTGTAGCCAATTCGAGTTTTATTGATTTATTATCGATCTTATCTTACTTTTTTTTATGGGGGAGGCTGATTCCATGCCGTTGCATTGTCTATATCAAAGAAAATAAATGTCATTAGCGTGCATTAATTGTCTGGACAACACAGCCTCATAGATGGGACCTGTTTTTGAGCTACAGATTACCCCCCAAAATCACTACTATTATTTGCTTTACCATTCGCCACTTAAGAAACGAGAAGGGGACTTCTTAGCCGAAAAGCTCCCCGCAGTTGTCTCTGGTATCGTTACTGGGGTCGATCGCACCCGTCAGCTTTTGGCGGCCTATTTTTCCCCGGACGTCCTTGTAACAGTCCCAGACGTCTTTGCGAAAGTCACTCGGTCCATCTTCTACATGATCTTTTAAGGGGCCACAATCATATCGTGCAGACCACTTTCTCTTCACTGAATTTTCGGAAGCCTACTCGTACCATCATTAAATGGCACGGAATCGGTGGCGTAGTCACACCGTTGTCAGAGCGCTTCATCATGAATTAAATATGCACTCCAGTCCTTTCAAACAAAAATCATCATAACGCAGTTAAGATCTAACGATTCAACTCAATCTGACTCCAGTACCTTATGGTTCAGCCCTTTAAGATTTTGTAACTCCTTTACACCGCTTTTAAGTTTGGGTGTTTGCATTAAGACTTTTTGTTGAGGTACAGACGTAGCCGTTAATCCAAAGCCATGCTGTCAACAACATAACTTCGGGAGATTTTATAGAGCCCATACCGATGCTGGTTTCTGGAGCTTTGTGGTAACACCAGAGCAAGCTTTAACGTCCGTGACCCCATGATTCCCCTATTGAAGTTAAATAGAGGTCCTCGATCCTAGGCCGGAAATTCAAACAAAGTTATTCATTGTCTCTATACCGTTGGTCTATCCTAATTATGGACCAGAAGGTTTACAATTGGGTCCAATTATCACATACAAATCACTTTGTATGGGCAACATTAAATTAAGAATAATAAAAAAAACTACTCGCTGAAAGCAAAAAGTATAGGTCCATTAGACAATGAGTACTTTGATTGACTTTCTCATTTCGAAAATTTCACATCCACAGTTTTGCTCGTTCCTTTGGATAAGAGATCCATAACCTGAATAACGGGCACAGTTGTCTTAATTAATAAACATAAACGGATGAACAATATATTATTCGTGACTCGGCGCTATTTACCTTATAACCAGACTTCCTTCTAAAGGGCGGTTTAGACAGTATTAGGAATCTTGAAAGCAAAATTAAAAAGGAAAAAAAAAAGGTAAAACTTTCCCTTGAAAACAGTTCTTGACTCGCCCCAACGGAAAGTCTGAAAAGGTAGTCGGAATGCTCCAAACCGAAATCTCATTCCATGATACCAGCTTCAGGCTTTCGCGGCCGTTTTTCGGTAAATGGAACTGATTTGTGCAAAACGCGATTCCCGGACGAAATTTAGGCCAGTCCTGAACTTTGCTTAGCATTTGTCCAATCCGCGAACCGACCGCTCTGCCGATGCAAATGGTAGAAACCTATTTTTTTCTATTTCTGTCTTTTTTATATATATATCGATCCAAATGTCGAGTTCATCAAATATAATAAATAACTGTCAGTATTGAAGACGAATTAGTAAATTTATTTAGAATTTACTATCTCCACAGAGTCTCGCCGTGTTACATGTACATCCCGCGAGTGATCTCGCAGTTTAGAGGATATTAACGTCATAAAAGACACAAAGAATTGGCCTCTAATTCAAGTAGTTTTAAAAACAAAGAAGAGACAAAGACATTGGTGATAATGAACTCCAACCGTTTCTTCATCTTTATTGCCTTGTGGCTCATTGTTAGCATCGTTTTGTTGGATGAGACTACAGGATTTGAAGGAGATAGAAGAATGCGACGGCGACGACTACTACGTCGTCGAAGAGTAGGAGGAAAGGCCAATTTGATCTCTGACGTATGTATATACATTTTTTGTACAACAAAGTGTGGACGAGATGCTCCCTCTGTCTCTTTCACTTATCAGATATTACACCAGCGACAAGCGTTGTCAAGTTTTTAAGATGTTGGGTAGAAAATAGTACTCCCCACTCTCTCCCAAACCAAAGTTAGTTGTGTTTCAAGTGGTCATTTTCTCGGACAGCTGTGGCCAGTAAAAGAGAAACAACAACCAACCAAAAAAAAAAGCAAACAAGCAAACAACAAACAAACAACAGCAACAAAAGAAAAAAAAAACAAAATAACAATATGCAAACAAACAAACGAAAACAAAGCAAGACGTCTTGGTGATTCTTTATAATGTTTCCAGGGCCCATAGACGACTGCAAATGTTTTCAGAATTTTAGGTGCATGAAAAGAGAGAAACTTTGCGCTATTTTGATCCACAATATGGACAATATGAGTTAACCTGGATACTCCTCACATTTATTTGGCTCACAGATGTATAATTTTTTCTTCTCGCCCCACCCCCCTAGATTTCAGTGGAAGGAGAGGAAGAAGACAACACTGGAAGACATTCCGAGAAGACGGGAAGCAAAACATCCACCTTAATTTGGCGTGATTCTGGCGACTCCGCCGGTGCTCAAGATGGCTGTGGCATTGAAACTTGTTAGTCAGTGTAAAGTCACACCTTCTTTCGGGAGTTTTAGCTGGTTTATCAAGTTATCACTAGTAATATATTGAATTTCTTCATCTCTTTCATTTCTGAGCTACTCGTTTGAGCTACTTTTTAACAGATCATTTTGTGAGGGTTTCCTAACTTTCAATCTCAATAGTTATTTCAGTTTCTTAAAGTCTATACTGTAATTAATTTCAAATAAATATATGGAGAAATAAAAAGATATTCATTCGATATGCTTGTGGATATTAATAGCGATACAAGCTGACATCACACTGATATCAATAATTATTGCCAACCAGAAGCACAATGACCGCATTCAAAGCAAATTATTTTATTTCAGTAGCTGCAAATTTGAATGGATGCGGTATGTTTGAACATGAACTCTTAACTACTACCAGTAGTTCTAGTTGACACAAAAAATGAAGAATCGTCATATTAAAAAAAATTCATTAGAGCGCAAACGGTAGCCTACACTCTTCTAATTCATGTGCGTAATGTTTTTTAGATATTGAATATCGTAGCAATTTTTGTGTGGTCTTAGTTTCTAACAACATTTGAAACTCTCCTTATGTGATGCTCCAACAGTAAAAAAGCGGCAAAGAAGGAGAGAAACACTAGTACTGAAAGCAAAAGTGGTCGACAGGACAGGGACGGATCCAGGATTCTTTTTAGGAGGAGGTGCACTCGTCTCTTGCTCTACTTCAACACCAATAAACCACATAGTTTTTTTTTTGGCAGAATACCAGTTGTATTAGAAAATCGCAGGTCATCTCAGGGGGGTGGGGTGCACCCCTGCACCCTCCCCTAGATCCGCCGCTGCAGGAAATGCTTAACGACGTGTTGAAGCAGTTGCCTTCTTTAACCCTCGGAAGTAAGGACCATAAGGTTTTTCTGAGTTTTTTCCTAAAGGATAAAACATCAGCACCTGACATTTTCAGTAGCTGTTCGTTCATCCCCGGCGCAGATACTTAGACAAGTTTAGTGATGATCAGTAGCTATGGTTATGAGATATGACGTCACAAGTAACAGGTGATCAAGCCAATTTTGGGGGGAAATACATGTTTTTTCAACTTCTTTCAACAATACAAGTAAATCTTGTGGCTAGAATCACGCAGAATGCTCATTTATGTATTATTTTTCATGTAAAGCACAAAAAAAAAACATTTCTTGCGGTTTTAGCTTGCCTGAATTTCATCCGATATACTTCGAGTCGTTATTACTCCCTCAGTAACGTCTGAATCGACCGGCTGTTAATGTCGTCCAGTGACGTCACTACTCCTTTACTTTAATTCATGCAAAAAGTTAAACACGATTTTCATGTGGCAAACCAAGAAATATCGTTTGGAAATATCTGCATGGTACAGAAAGGCTTTACTCTTTTCGATCGTAATTCATGTTTAACGTTCAAACTATCAACTGCGTGCAGTACTCTGAACGTTGTAATTTCATAATCAAACTCGGTCGCAATCACGCAATGAAATAGATACACACACGGAACACTTAGTTAAAAAACACAATGATTTGCTTTAACAGAATCATTGCACTTGACGTTGAAAACAGTAGCTAGATGGTCGAATTATAACCTTGGTCTCAGAGACTTCGCATAAACAAAATCACTGCCAAAACCACATAGCGGCTCTAAATGAAAAACCTACCGACTCTCCGCAATGATTCTTCATTCATAGCTCAATTTAGCATTTCAGTTTCGAAGACGAGGGCAATTTTGCTGTTTACGATAAAGATTGTCGAAAAGTTTGAACTCTACGCAAGCATACCAGGGATGATCCGCGGAATATCAAGCGATGATCCTGCTAACATTTCTCACTGTTATGCATAAATATGCGAATGTTTAGACATTCAACCAATCAAAATCACTAACCGGTTTTCGAGTAGTAGTGACGTCACTGGAACGCATTAACGGCCGGTCGTTTCCAAGCAGACGTTGCTGAGAGGCGAAACGACGCGAAGCAATCGGATGAAATTCAGGTTAGGTTTTAACCTGATTTCTAATTCTTAGGAAAATCCAAGATGGCGGCCAAGATGGCAACCATTGTTGGTGACGTCACAGACCTCCAGCAGCGCCACCACCCATAAAATCTGCCTCATCTTGTTTTGATGATCAAAAGCTTTTCACTAAAGGTAAAATCGTTTCAAAATACTTCAACATATCAAAAACTCCAGGGAGGGGTTGCATCCACCCTCCACGCCACTTGTTATACGTTGGGGGTATGTATTTGCGTGTACGTCCGAGGTTAATGGACAAAGCGAGCAGAGCTGCAACCGCTCATATCAGGGCCCTATCAAGCTCGTCGAAAGCAGCAGTAGTGATTAATTTTTTTGACACATTATTAAAGGTCTTGTGCAGCATTATTTAAATCTTAAAATTGTTTATAGTTTCCTGGTCTAAACGGCTTTAGCCTGCGTAGCAAGCGTTTCCGTGCGGTTTAGGAGCAAAGAACGAGGAACGAGAGTCAAAGATTGCGCGAAAAATGGCTCTTGTTTCATTTCTCGCGTGGCCAAAACCGAGAATCCCGTTCCTCGGTCTTTCTTTGCTCCGAAACCAACGAAAACGCTTGCTACGCAGGCTAAAACGGCTTGTAAAGTACTTATTTTAGACGTGAATAATTTCTTAGCCGGTTAATGGCGCAAAGTACAATGAGACTTTTACAATGGACAATAAGTTTCACCGAGAACGAATGCATAAATGTCGTGATTGAGTGTGTAGAATTATAATGGAAGTGACCTAAAGCTTCAAGCGATAATGCGAAACTGTCATGAGTGACGCTTGCTACATTAATGAAATTGTAATTTGTCTGTCTCAAGTAATTGATACTAACATAGAAATCACTTAGACACCTAATTGTATTATCGTATGTAATTGCTCTAGAATACGCGTCTTTGTTTAATTTGATTTCAATTGCCTTACACTTAGCTACTAGATAACAGTTAGAGCTTCGCTATTGCCATGACGTAATAAATAAACGTGGATTACTTTAGGATCATTTGTTCACTTCCCACTTGAAACGGTTTTATTTTCCACAGTGCAAGCTTTACAAAATGGGGGAAGTTGGAGAGGTGAACAAAAGCAGAAAACAATTAAAAAACACCCGTTTCCCACGCATAGTCTGGAAGGAGGGTTACTTTGAGCGCAAAAAATTATTATTCCGTCTGCGATGCAAACTACCTGGTGCTCAGGGAAATTTAGTATATCGTATATGGCCGATCTTTGCTAAGATTTATGCCTCTTATTATGAGAATAGTTGAAGGTAAAATGTTTTTCCTAGATCTTTTTAGGCTGGGTTAAATGTACAGCCGCATCTGTTTGATCTTTAATTAAAGGTAACCTTCATGCATATTCGAAAAAATAGCCTTTGTTCCGGAGTTCACATACGGAAGTATGGAAAAGTCTATCGAGCTACTTTTTTTTTTTTTGACCAATGGCCTCACTAGGAAAGGCCGTTTACTATTTTGAAAGAGGTTACGGGGGCTATCAACTAAGGTGAAATTAAAGAAAAGAAAGCTAATTGAAATTCTTACTTCCTAATATCTTAGAAGCGGTGTTAGAAACTTAAACGGATAGAATTGTAGCTAATTCACTCACCTTATATATGGAAATCGGCGATATGCACTTAATGAGTAAACCTCAGTTATCTAGGAATACACCAATGGAAACCGGCTCCAATGGTTATAAGCCTTTAGTATAATTCAGACTAAGGAGTCTATGTAGATTCACATGCAATGATTGGTCAAGGACATCTCCAAATCCTCCAATAGACAAGTGGCTCGAAGTTAAAATAGACGGCTTGCACGTGTTTTTGTTGTTGTTGTTGTTTTTTTTCAACTCTTGAAATGGACAAGTTAGGGAAAATCCGTCGACACAACTTGAAAGAGCGCCCTAATATTGGTAAAGTGCCAAACTTGAAAGTGACTTGTTAAAAACTAACGAGATTATCGCACCTCAAAGTCGCGAAATGTTACAGACGTTTGTTTGGTGAGGGGCACAATAAACTTGCACCCCACCATACAAACGTCTGATTTTTCTCAACTTTCCGGAGCTATATTTTCGCTCGCTTAAGAGGTAACACCTTCAAATTTGGCAA